CAGCCGGCGCGGGGGGCAGCGGATCCTGCCCCTGAGGTGCCAGCGGCCTCGGGGCTTTCTGGAGGGGGGGCTCCCGCCGGAGCCACGGCGGTGTTCTGGCGGAGCGGCGTGGCGGCCGCGGTTCCGCAAGGTGTCTGCGTGAGCCCGTCTTGTGCACGGGGGTTTGCCTTTAGAGTCGTGTCAGTCGGCCCAGGAAAAGATACCGCCTCCCCTCGGTAACTGTGCCTCCCAGGGAGCTGCTGGCCAGCAGCAGGGGAGCGGTCAGCCCCCCAAAAGCCCACAAACGAGCGAACGCACCCCCCCAAAAAAACCCCAACCCAAACAAAAACCTCTGCAAAAAATCACTCCCCCCCTACATATTCTGTACTAACGGGCACGGCTCTTTTTTCTTCTTTTTTCTCCTCTCCTTCCCTTTTTTCCTCTCCCCTTCTTCCCGCAGAGGCTGCCGTACACGAGGATGGATTTCACGGAGGCCTATTCCGATCGATGTTCTGCCGTGGGGCTTGCAGCCAGAGAAGGAAATGTTAAAATGCTGAGGAGACTAATTAAGCAGGGCTACAGCCTCGATGTTCCGGATAACAGGGGGTGGGTGCCAATCCACGAAGCAGCAGCTCACAATTCGAGTGAATGTCTGAGGCTGCTACTTGGTGCAGGTAAGGAAAATTTGATGTGAAATAGCACGATTTTTCTGCTAAATTCCCCTGCGATTGTCCTGCTTTCGGCAGGGATAGAGTTAATTTCCTTCCTAGTAGCTGGTACAGCGCTGTGTTTTGGATTTAGGGTGAGAACAATGTTGATAACACACCGATGTTTTAGTTGTTGCTAGGTAATGCTTACCCTAGTCAAGGACTTTTCAGCTTCCCATGCTCTACTGACTGAGAAGGCTGGAGGGGCACAAGAAGCTGGGAGGGGGCACAGCCAAACTGGCCACAGGGACATTCCATACCATGGGACGTCACGCTCAGTACATAGGCGGGCGGGGGGGGGCCGCCGCTCAGGGACTGGCTGGGCATCGGTCGGCGGGTGGTGAGCAATTGCACTGTGCATCACTTGCTTTGTGTATTATTATTATTATTACATTATTATTATTACATTATTGTTGTTGTTGTTATTTTATTTAAATTCTTAAGCTGTTTTTGTCTCAACCCACGAGTTTTTCTCACTTCTACTCTTCCAATTCTCTCCCCCATCCCACCGGGGGGGTGGGGAGGAGTGAGCGAGCGGCTGTGTGGTGCTGTTGCCTACTGAGGTTAAACCACAACAGCGATATAAAATATAAATTAAGTCGATTTCTTTTATCGTATTCTTACTTGTTTTGTAAATTTCTGTGTGTTTTCATAGATACTGACTAGCTATCGTAAAGAGAAACCGGCATGTTGTAGTCTGTGAATGGCATTCGATTTTACTTTACCTTCTCTGTCCAAGGCCGGTATCTGCGTGGGGCCGGCAATAACTGACACTGCTGTTTGAAAGAGTTGATAACAGCACGTTCGTGGACACGCTGTAGGCCACACATCTCAAATAACAGTTATTTGGAGAAAATAACTGTGTTTCATAGTTCATTGCTAGATACACTTTTTTTTGTCTCCATTATTCTCATCTGTAGCTCCATCTGATGACTACATAAATTCAAAGACGTTTGAAGGGATGTGTGCGCTGCACCTTTCGGCACGCCACGGGTCTTTGGAAAGTGTTCGTGTTCTTCTGGAAGCTGGGGCTGACCCCAATGAAGTTACCACTGAAGCAACCACCGCACTGTTCCTAGGTGACACGAGCTTTCTAGAAATCTCAGAGCAGCCAATGAGTGGGGAATAGCTTATTCACTGTGTTTAAACTCACCAGAGTTCAGTCACTGCCTATCATGTTTCATATTTTTGTAGCCTAAATACTGGGCTTTAGACTCGGAGGTGGAGTGGGTCTAGGGATTACTTTTTATTTATGGATAAATCTGCTTCAGGCTGTGTTTTAAAACAAAATTGTGAAAACAGATTGGTTTTTTGCATTGCCTTTTGTTTCTTTCTAGCACAGGAAAGGTCTAGGAGGTATAGGATTACATCTCTACGGGGGTGTTTCAAGTCTTTTTTTTTTTTTTATTCCTCCCTACTTCTTATGTGAAAAGTCATCTTATTCTTTTTGCAATTCCTACTTTAGCAGTTAAGGTCCATTATTTTAGTATTTTTTTTATGATTTATGTTTGACATAATTAAATGCTTAAAAATTCTGCTATAGTGAATCCTCAGGGTCTAAATCATCTGATTAAATATGCTTATTGTTTTTTTTCACCTGCGTACCCAGGCAAACATCATGGCTGCCACCTTACCTTTGCTTACAAGTCTATTCACATTTTATTTTTAAGCAACTAAATAGCTTATTTGCTTAAAACAATTGGTAACGGGTAGCACTTGTGGGGAAATCATCCTTAAAAGCACACCGGATAATGATAGTTAACACTAGGTATAAGTGCTTATGTAGGTTAGGCAGGCCAAGGAACGGTCCTGGGGTTCTGTATCCAAGAGATTTTTAAAAAGGAAAAAGTTTATGGCCAGGTTAGTCCAGACTATGTAACGGGGTTATGGCACAGCTCTGTGTTGGACGTTGAGTACTACAGGCCGGAGGCACTCTTTTGGCAGGCTCGTGCGCTAATACTCTAAAAATTATTCAGTCGGTAGCAACTATTTGCAGGTCACTTATCACCAGATCAAGCTCTTACCGCTACACAGGAAACGTGTCTTGGTAGAATTGTTGTTGGCAAAAACTTGAGGATGAATCAGGATGCTAAAGGAGGTTTTGTCAATGAATGCATTAGCATAAATTAAATGTACACATTATAAATTAATTTTGAATAGGGGTTTAAAACAGTTTTAAACTTTTTTTTAAAAAAAGTTTGAGTTGGGGGAAGTTTGCTGTAAGACAGCCACCGGGCTTCACGCGTTCGGGAGGCCGTTGCGACTGTCGTGCGGTTCGGTGCCTGCTGCAGAATTGTCTCCATGCTTCACGGCAAAGAGGGAGGAGAGAGACTTGCTTTTGTTATCTGTGTTAGCACAGTGTAGGTGGAATTTTAACAAGTCTAACTAAAACTTTTGTGCATAAATTTCCATTCTCCAGCTCTGTTTTGGGAGTGTAAATGTAAAAGGCAAGTAAGCATATATAAGGCAAGTTTAAAAGAATTATGATTATTGTGTCAGGAAGTTAGTGTTTTCAATGAGTTCTTTAAATCCAGTTAATAAGAATTTTTTTCTTCCTTTTTTTTACTGTTCTGTCTGAAGCTGTTGAAAATGGACATGCAGACGTTGTAAAGTTTCTGCTCCAACACGGAGCAGATGTTAAAGGACCTCATTCTTGGTCTGGATGGAATTCTTTGCACCAAGCTTCTTTTCAGGTAAGCTGTAAGTGTATCGTATAATTTCCATGTAACTGGTGTATTCTGAGTGATAACTTACCTAGTTCTTTGCCTTTTTGTCGGGTGATTTTTTTCCTAACCTACCCTAGCAGTCATAAGGCTGTCTAAATGCTGAAGGGATTGCAATGCACTGAAGAGTGTATCTGAAACTACACGAGATGTTGAAGTTGGGAAGCAATAATTATTTAAGTGTTGTAAGTTTTGCATGTACTCACAAGCCTACGTGTTGTATTTGGGAAGTGAATCTCTTACAAGAGTTTTTTGAGGAAGAGTTCTGTTTAGTATCTCATCGTCAGTGAGATGTATGACCTTTTTCCGGAATAGAAATATGTTAGCTTAATGGTTCTAATAAGCTAATTTAATTTCCATCCGTATGTATCGTGTAAACGAGCAAATGTGAAAAACTAAATTAAACTTGTCTGATTTTTTTCTGCCATAAATTTTTCGGTACATCTTTAGACTGTTGAATATATTGTGTTTTTTCTTATTTCTGTTTGGAATGTGTGGGAAAAATAAATTATGTCAGTTCCCCACTTTTTTGTTGGTTAAGAATAAAAATATGTATTTCAGGGATGCACTGAGATAATGAAAATACTCCTGGAGAAAGGGGCAAGCAAGGAATGTAAGGATGACTTTGGAATTACACCTTTGTTTGTTGCTGCTCAGTATGGAAAGCTGGAGAGTTTAAGACTGCTTGTATCCCATGGTAATAGTCATCATTCTTTTAGCTTCGTTGTTCTTAAACTTGCATCAGCCTGTCACCAGATACAATTTTAGTTCTACTTCTGCACTTCACGACTTCAAATTTTAGTGGTTTTAATGTAATTTTAGTTGCAGATGGGTATGCAAAACCATCTTCATTGCTTAAATCTTGTTTCAGTAATTTAATGTATTTTCAGCAAGTGATGGTAGGAAATAATAAATCAAAAATATGAAAAGATTAAGGTTCATCAGGGTCTTCTAGAAGCCCTCAACAGCACTACATTAGCGGTCTGATTTTGATGACGTTGCTCTTGTAATAGGATATTGTTCAGGCTAACTGAAGATAACCTCTCTCTGGTCATAAAGTGACGGCAACAGTTTCATTCACGTAATGAACAAGTTTTATGTGTCTAAGTGCATGCGTCCTTACAACCAAAACTAATTGCTGTAACTATTAAGCCTGAGGGTGCCATGACCTGACCGGAGAAATCGTACTAACTGATCTACCAACACCTGGGGGAGAATCTCAAAAAATAATCGCCATCGAAAGATTGCCTAGCCGGTTGCCTTTCCTCCAGCACGTTTATCTCGTGTTGTGCTGATCTTTGACAGAGTTAATGTTAAGCACTGACGGTTTAAACAATTAGCAGGAAGCTAGTAAACGTTTCCTCATTGCTGTGGAAAACCTGTTGTGTTGTGAAGTCGCTCTGTGAAAACCACTTACCGATTAATTTGTTGCTTATTTTCTGTGGTGTAGTGGTGATGTAAAATACTGGCTTTTTTTTTGTCAGGTGCAGACGTAAACTGTCAAGCCAAGGACAGAGCCACTCCCCTGCTGATTGCTGCGCAGGAGGGCCATGCCGAGTGTGTGGAACTGCTGTTATCAAAAGGGGCAGATCCAAATCGCTACTGCAACGAGGATAACTGGCAGTTACCTATCCACGCAGCGGCTGAAATGGGCCATAAAAAGTAGGTGATTAAAAAGACTTTCAGGCAAAAGGTTCTGGTAATAAAAACCGAATCGACAAAGAGGATATTCAGCTCTAAAAGAAAGAAAAATGAGTTCTCAAGCTGATTTGTAGTTTAGAATTTCTAATTGTTTTCATATTTAAAATGTCTGTTAGTAGTCCCAGTAAAGCCAACAATCATTTTGAACTCGGCATCTGATCTGGGCCTGATCGACATCCTAATGAGTTTAGAGAGGTTTCCACAGTGCCGAAACAGATACCAGTTTGCTCAATAGCCATGTTACTTTTACATTTTAAAATAACAATAGCGTACGCTTTATGCATGAATTGAACAGCTCTTAATTGGAATTATAGTCCTGACCATTAAGTAGCAGAAGTAATCATATGCAAATAAGGAATTGGCTGAACCAGCCAGAAAATCAAAGCCACAAAACAGTTCCTTTAATCCTTGCAGAAATGCATGTGTAGCTTTGCCCAATCCCAATGATATAAGTCGCTTTCGTAGCAGAAAACCCAGAGTGGAAGGAAGTTCCCAGAGGAGCAGGCCACTGGGGAAAAATATCGCTCCGGAACCCCGTGACTTGCACACGTGTGACAGCATTTAAAATCCAATATATTAATGATGGTACTAACTGCAAAATTATTGGTGGATGCTTGATCTTAAACCCTAGCAAAAGGAGGTCATCAGCTGAGTTGTCATTAAAGTTTGTGCATCAAATTGATGCCTCTCCTCAAACTGAGGCGGAGGGCAGACTGTAGCAGATACTGAGGAAGCTGGGTTTTGTTCATTTTCTCAGAAACGGAAGATGAGTTAGCAAAGTTGTCAGTACTAGAAATGTCTTTAAACCAGACGCTGCCTTCGTAGCTTTTGCAACAATATGTAACTGGCGACCTCTGAGCAGCGCCAGTAAGTTCCAGTAGCAAAGGAATCGGTGTTTGTCACTAATCCTTGTTAGCTGGAAAGGATGTGGGCCGGAGGTGTGAGCTATGAAACAGGATGATTTCTCTGTTTCAGTCTCTCAGTGAGTGTTGCTGAACAGAAGTATTAATTTTATTTGCAACTCACACTTTCAGTTTGCTTCCAGACTTCTATGAAGCCTGGATTTAATGTGCAGAGGTACTCTATTGCTGTAAAAAGGATTGTTGGATAATAGGAAATACCTGTCTCTGATTCGGATTAAAATATTTATTGCCAGCCTAAATCCATGCCAAAGCACAATGTTTGTTGTGGGTCTGTGTAAAAATGATAAAAAAAACCCCATAAATTGTTCTTTTATGCAAACTCAGTAGTGAAAAAACAGGTAGGATTTTCTTCTTAAGTTGTAATGACCATATGAAAAATGACCATACATTTAAAAGTAATTATTGTGTAAGATCACAAAATAAGTAGAGTTTTTAAATATTTGCAGGATACTAGAGTTACTAATACCAATCACTGATCGGATTTGTGACAAAGGCAGAGGCAAAGTGAGCCCTGTGTATTCAGCAGTATATGGCGGTAATAAAGAATGTTTGGAATTGTTGCTTAAAGAAGGCTACAGTCCAGATGCTCAAGAGTGCCTTAACTTCGACTGCAGATCACCCATGTGTATGGTCTTCCAAAAAGAGTAAGTATACCTCTTACATTTTGAAACTATTCATAATTATGTTGGCCTCTATTTAACTTTGTTTAAACGTGCAGTTTTCCTGCCCTCCTGCCTCAATTCTTGAGCTGCTGGAGTTAAACTGTAAATATCCGAATGGTGTGTGGGGTTTGGATTGCGTGCACGAGCTGAAGAACCTGCCGAAATCTCTGAGGGGAAGCTCAGCTCTTTGAAGAAGAGTCTTGTAGGACAGAATTGCAGTTTTCATGCTTTCAGAAGGCCTTATCGACATGTCTCTGTCTTCTGGGAACATGACTCGATGCTGTAATTGGATCAAAAGGACTCTTAAGTAGCCAGATTCTTTTCAGTAAGGACGAGTTATTGGAAAATAGCGTTTTCCTTTTCTGTATGCCAGTCTCGTGCATAAGACAAGCAGAATTAATCAGCTCAACACTATAGCTGTAAGGAGGACTGGGGAACTGAACGATGTCTTCTTTTAGATCGTGACCCATTTCTTTTAATGCCTGGTGAGTGATGTGCATCCCTGGTATTCAACAGGAAATAAAACAATGCTTGCTTCATAATGCAAAGGCTATAATTTTGGAGGAAAAATAATAAGATATAAAAAAAAAGCCTTACTCCTAATCACATATATATGGTATGTCAATGAGGTGCTCTTCATGTCCTTGTTGTTGATTCCCCCCCCTTTAGTACAGAAGTTTCTTCTTCCTTTTTCTGTGGGAAATTAATTCGTGGAGGAGTGGGCTATTACTGTAAAAGACCTAGGTGTTGCTGTCCCCAAGCTTGCCTTGTGCTCCCCCCAAACTAATTCAATATATAAAATAACATTCGAAGGACTGAATACTAGCACAGCTCAAATCAAGATAGAGGATCAAATCTCAGTCACCTCTTGGCAGTTCTGAGCTTTGCACAGAGCTGTAATGTCATTGTGGTTTACATTTTAATTGAGGCTTGAGAGCAGTTACCTGATGCTGCTTTATGCTTTAGAACAACAGCGAAATTTCATGTGGTAGAGAATACCTTTGAAAACTTTTTCTTTTCCTTCAGCTGATTGCTGTCTATCACTTAACGTTTTGCAAGAATTCTAGTTAGTTCACCCTTTGTAGACACTCCTCCTCGGGAATATTAATGCAAAGTAATGTTATGTGGCTAGTGTGCTGCATCAAGGAAAATATCTTCAATAAAGGCTTTTAAATCTTCTTAAAACTCAGATTCTAACAGAATATTTGATGTACACGGATCAAAATTTATTGCTTATGTGCTGCCATTTAAAGTAATGAGGTTTTGGTAGTAATGAAGTTAGTTCACCCCCATTAAAAAGCAGTTTATCCAGCAGATGCAAAAACATAGCTTTTGGGGCTGGCTTACATTTGGGAATCATGATTTCACTTTCTCATTCTTGCCTCTTGTCTTCCACGTGGGACCTGCTCTGATGTCTTTTATTTGAGGCAGAAAAATCAAAATATGCAATATTTTAACAGTTCTTAGATACCAGAAGTTTGTCACCTGCAAACATTTTTAGCCAAAATACCAACATTTAGAGGATGTGCCTCGGTGCCCTGAATCCCGTAAACAATTGAGGCTTGTCCGCGGATGTGTAGAGGCTATTTGAGAAATTATTTTTTACGAGAAAGCTTGATATAATTAAAAGTGATGGTCTTGAGGTGATGTATTTTTTTTTTTCTTCTTCTTCTTCCCCCTGGATAAAGCTGTTGAAAGAATTAACTTTGCTGGGATATTCTTTGCTGAATATGTTTGAATATATGGTTGTGTATATATATATGTTTGTAAAGTGTGTACTGGTTGCATGCTATTAATCAATAGGATTGCACATTCTTACAGTTGGCTTAGGAAAATTTTTATTAAAAACTTCACCGAATAGTTGCCCTCAATCTACAGCACTATGATTGTAATAAGTAACTTGCCAGTCATTCATAATGTTCCTGAAGTGAAAATACTGCAGTAATATCCTGGTTGAGTTTGTCCTACTTGAACTATAAAAGGGCTTATTTCAAGGAGGGAAATCAAGGACAGAATTATTGGGTTTTTTTAATAGTGAAAGTACATCCCAGTGACTGTGCCTGTTACAGCCTCTTGTGTCTCTGGTCAGGCTGCAGGTGATTTTGAATTGCTTGAGGCAGGAACTCATCCAGATCCAAAACGGCACATCGTGCGTCGGGGCACGAGGCAGAATGTGCTTTCCTGTAGCTCCATAAATGACCCATGAGGTGTGCAGTGGAGCAGCGCCTGGGGTTTGTTATTACTAATTTTCATCACGCGCTCCTGGGAAGTTGTCTTTAAAAATCCTTGGACATCATTTTTTTCCCCTTCTGTCCTATTCTTAGTGTCTAATAAATAATTCCGGAAGGGATGCAGACCAGGTGACTACTAAAATGTACTGTAAATGAGGCAGGTAACATATATCACCACTTCAAAACCACTTCTATGAAGTAATGTGCAATCTAATTACTAACTAAAAAGCAACACACTAATTATCAGTCATAATCTCATTCATTATCATATTACCGTATCGTAATTGATAATGATAAAATGATTTTAGTAAAAACACTTTAAAATGTTTACAATAGTTCAGTGGGTTGCAGAGCTTCCTGCAAATACAGCTGGATGTAAATTAAACCCGTAACAAGTCTGAACGTTAGGCTGGTCCCCAAGTCCTGGGGTGCAGTCGTTTGATATTTTCCCGTACTTGTCCATCTATTGCCCACGGCGCATTTTTAAGGTGAAACCTAATCAAGTGGGCACGGTGCTTTCTGCTCATAGCAAGCACGTGGTGGATCAGCAGTGCGGTGGTACTTCCGGGTTACAGATACCAGTAATTGATGACTTTGGGCAGCTTCTATTTGTGATCAAAAGGCTTGCTTTGAAGGGCTGGAAGCTGGTTGGAACCACAGGTTTTTCAGGACAAAAAGAACAAATGAGTTAAATGTAGGGACCGGGGTCTCCTGAACTGGTTCTACATTTTAAACTGATGCTTTCCGGAAAGAACTGCACTCAGAATGGCACGCTGGGTTTTTCTTTGGTTTGGGGGGTTTTTTGGTAGAAGAAATTTGCTTTCTTGGAGGTAAGAAGTGAAACGGTAGATGCTTTCTGGGGAAAAAAAACTAACAGGATGTCCTGTTCCCTGTGCGCTGTTCATAGGTTTTTTTATTTCATTGATATTTTCCTGAAATACGGAATCGCCTTACTTGGGATTAATTTGGGATATTGCCTGTTCCATGAAAAGTTTACTTTGTTTCGACGCTTCTTGAAGCTGGGCTGTTCACTGCCCTCTGGGGACCAATTATCGGAGTTCATAAGTTACACAATTAAAGCGCATGAGGAGTACAAGGAATGGCTGCCTTATCTGCTCTTGGCTGGTTTTGATCCAGTGAATTTAATGCGCAGATTCTGGTAAGCAGACAATGTTTCCTTGTTTACTTGAATATTGTATGCTAATCCGCAAAGCTGTTGCCAACGTTATTTACCACGTGCTTTCAGAGGATAGTACTTGATAATCAGTTGCCATGATCAGGAGTGGCGAGGGTCACGGAAAGTCTGAAATAAAACGTCGACGGGTGATGGCTGGATTCAGTAAAACAAATTTCTTTGAGGAAGAAAGCCAGAACGGAGATTGCTTTATCACTACCCTGCAGAAAGGCATCATTTCGCAATTTTTATATCGAACGTCTCTTATTAGCCCCCAAATTTAGTTGCAAATTGTGTGTATATGTATAATACGGTAATGGTAAGAAGAATCTCAAGTACCAAGGAAGAGGTCAGGAGGGGTGGGGAACAAATGTAAGGTGAAGCTGGGCCAAGGCTAGGAGGAGAGGAAGCGGATGCAGTTAGAGATTGTGTTAAACAAAATAATGTGGCAAAAAATCCAGTCTTTTTTTTGTTTGTTTGTTGTTTGTTTTTTTTTAATTCTTCCATATACAGATAACTGCTTGGTGATGTTTAATTAGGCATACAGAATTAAACTTGTGTTTAAAATTATGAAGTATTTGTATTTTCTTCTGTTTTTTTCTTGTCCGTGAAGATGACGCTTAGACTTTACTATCATATGTCTCAGCTGTTAACAGAATCATGTGAGATGTATGAACTCGTTACATGCATTACCTACCTGTATGAAAGGTTTACTTGAATATCGATTTATATTTCAGATACTGTTAAGATATCATGGTTAAGATAGCACTGGTAGTTTTAAATGCATTCATTTATGGCTTACTGAGATTCTGTTAATCATTAGCATCCATGGCTTTCTGAACAGTAATTAGAGGAGCATATATAAAGCATGATACATCTGTGCTTCTGTAGATCATACTTACTCATAGAAGACTAAGTGGTTGCAAAAGCAAACACGCTACAAGATTGCAATGCAGTGAGTGAACAGATCTCACCCTCCATGTATATCACGTATGATGCTTTTTGATATTTTGTTACAAATACTTTTATATCAGTTACTTCCTTTGTTTAAATATCCACTTTTTAAAATAACGCTTATCACACCATAATCTACAAAACTAATGTTTTTGTGAGTTTAACTTCAATAGTACCTATTTCCCTCCTGGAAGATAAGAGGAGGATAGTAGACAGCAAATGACACTTATGCATATGGTTCATTAACTGTCTCTGGCTCCTTGTGCAGGACAACTGTATAATCAATCATAAACTGGTCACTGACAATTTTAATTACCAGTGGGAAAAGTAAAATCACCGTTCTCTTTAAGAGAGCTAGGCCATCAGATCTCTCTCCTGTATGGTTTTCGGTGAACGTATGAAAGTTCAGTCAAATATGAAAAATGAAATAATATACACTAGAAAGGACATAAAATAACTTTGACATGTATCTCCTGTAAGAAGGAAGTAAAAATTCTTAGTGTGGTATTTTTGTGTGTTTAGAGCATTTAGATTTCCATTCAGATGAAAATTCAGGATTGTATACATCTAGCCGAGAAGCTGTTCTGTGAAATTGCATGGCTCTTCGTCCTGTGTAATACTGAAACAGTTGGCTTACCTGCTGTTACTTAAACCTCCTTATATGCTTTATTCAATTAAGCTATTGTTAGAAGTTCTTCACACATGCTGAAGATTTGAAATGTAAATCATACTGATTTCTGAGTACATATAAATGCAATCTCTGGTAGAAGTTTGAAACGCTTGCAAATTTGGAGGGCTTTTTTGTTTTGTTTTAATAAATAAGTAGCTGAATATATGTGCATTTTTTCCCCCAAAGTGATGTTAATGCTTATAATGCTCTGGTGTCTTGACCCCTTATTAAAATTTAGGTGGAAATGGAATAAGAAATTAGTGTAGAGGAGAATGCTGCCTATTACTGAGGCATTTAAATTTCAGAGCAGATTTTTTTCTCTTGCAGTCTAACTTACTTTTAAAAAGAAACGGAGGAAGATAAAACTACGTTAGTAAAGGCTTGTGCTGTCAAAATTACTTCGGATTGGTTTTCTGTTTCTGGGCTTAGGATGTAGGTTGTTAAGGATTTGTTAGAAAATAGTGAAGCTTTCTATGCATTGTTTCCATTGTTATATCTATGCTATTGTGTAAAATGATATTTTATGGGAGTTTTTATTATGCAGGATTTTCTCTGTGAGCGAGAATGCCCTTAATTTCATCCTGGAGTTCACGAACTGGAAGAGACTTCCTCCAGCTGTAGAGCAAGACCTTTCAGACTACAAAGAGAAGTTCACTCGGACTCCCAAGAGCCATTTTGGTAAGCAATACAGTTAGGAAAAAAAGTCTCCGTGTGTGTCAGCTTCCAGGCTGTAAGTGGGAAGCAGCTCTGTGTGCTAATGCACGATGGCAAAGAAGGTTCAGCAGTCGACAGACATTGCTTGTCCAGAAGCTGGGGAGCAGAAATAACAATTACCCTAAACAAGCAAGGAAAATGTATTTGTATGAATTTTACTCATTACATTGTTCAATTCATAGTTAGCATGCTTCAAGTACGTATTCTCAGTTTAGGCTACCTTGTCCACTTCAAATTAATGCATGTGCTATAAAATATGGGTAGTGACTGTAAATTGGTATTGCACCTTCCTGAAATGATCCGTTCAGCCTCTTGGAAGATTTAAGGGAAGATGATCAACATTACCTGGTTATGTTTTCTAGGCAATATCCCACTGCTTTTATGCTTTTTAATTTGATTTGTATTTCCAATGAAGTGTCTATCCTGTTCTGCAAGCATTTGACCGTAACTAAAATACAAACCATATAAATCATCATGTTAAATACCTACAAATCTAGCTGTTCATTGTCACTCCTGTAATCGAAATGTGGTCAGCCAGAACGATTCAATAATTGATTGTCCAGGAAAACACTAGTGCTCACTAGTGCTTCAGAAAAGCAGCTTTACCATACAGGTCATACACTGTGACCTATGCGTTATGTTACTGAAAAATTGCGCTCGGATGTCTTTGTTAGTGACTCATTTCAAAGCAAATTCTTCTTTAAAAGGGTCTGTAATGATTTTTAAAATGTCTACGTGATAATGTTGTTAAATAATACTGGAATATTTGAAGCTAATTAGGGTACCTTTTTGGAGTAAAGAGAAAAAAGGTTTCATTTGGGGAAATTTAGATGACGTTTTCTTTCTTTGTTTCCTTTGCTATTAGTAAATATATTTGTGTTGTAATAGCATCCAGTAACTAAAGCCGAAGAGAGAAAGCAGGGGGGGAAGTTTTGAAAGTTTTCACTTTTTCATTCTTTCCGCTGTGCTGAGAGGCAAGCTTCCCCGCTTGAGAAACACCAGGCACTTGAACTGAGATAAGCTGGTCATGTGAGTGAGCACAGGAAATTAAAAATGAAGGGTTCGTGTGGAAAAGTTCAAGAACTGGTGTTCACACCTCCAGCTGAAGGCTTGCAAAACGTATGGTCCCGTGGAGTTACACCCCTGCCATACTTACCCTTCTATACTGAAATACAGAAATGATTGCAGTTAATATTACAGATTCCTTGTGAATGAAATAAATGGAGAAGCTGCTCTAGGAGAGTTTGGAGGCACTAGAGTTCTGTGTCAGGATAAGTTGATCTATAACGTGAAAGTTTGTGTTTGAGCGAATGTACATTTACAGACATGTTTGTCTATCTTTTGGCACAGTGGTTGTCCTAAGTCAAGTTATTGAGCAACATGTTAGAACATTTGGCATCATATGCCAACTGAGTCATGCTGTCATTTAATACTTATCCTAAAAGTGTTTTCCCTTGTGTTATTTTGTTGCTGGATTTACTTTGAGACTTAATTTTTCATTTCTTGTAAGGTGGCATGAGCCCCTCTCTCCCCAAGCAGGTAGCTGTTCTAGGCTGGTTAGGTGAAACTTTCTGATTAAGGATAAAATGATTCTTTGACACTTTGTTTCTAGAAGTTTAAGGTAACTTTTCTAGCTCCTATAAGGAAATTCCGAAAATGCTGATTCTAGCAGGAAACAGCCCTTCACTATCGAGAACTCTGCCAGAGATTGGGGGGTTCAGATGGGATCTAGCTAAACAAGGTAACCGTAGGCAAGCGATGTAATCCCGTGGTGTCCTGTTTGGTGTTTGACTTGTTCTTTAATTTTTCAGCCTTCATTCCTTCCCTGTCTCATCTTTGTCGTCTTGAGATCCGGTCCATTTTAACGAGTGAACGCCTGCGATCGGACCGGTTTATCCGGGAATTGCCATTGCCAGCTTGTCTCCAGGACTACCTTCTCTACTTAGATGTACTGCGAGTCAACGCTATCCCAGAAGCGGAGGATTATCTGGGGCAGAGAGAGGAGGGAGCTCCCTCTACCAGTCACTCCAGCGCTGAAGATGCAGAGAGGGGGGACGCCTGTAAGGCCAGTGTTAGGTGATGGCGCTGCCAGTGACTGAACTCCGCGGCTGCAGATTTTGTAATGGCGACTAGCAGACACCAGAGAACTACTGTAAATAACTGTAGTAATAAGTCTTTTCATGCTGTAGTTTTATACTATAGCTAGAAGTTCGTTAGAAGTTCTATGATTTACTTGTTTAAAAAGTCTGTTGTAGCTTTCTAAGTCTGTGAACATTTTCTGGTTTTTGAAAGGAAATTTTTAACTCTTACGAAGTAAAATTAGCTTGTTCAATGAACATAGCTTATATAGTGGTCGAAATCTATTTGGTCAGACACTGCTAGTAGACGCTTTATTCTAAGTACTGCATATGCCAAATGAAATTATCTGAAAGTCAAGGAACACAATATTGTAGTATTGCTATGAATTTATGCATTGGGGAGTGATCTAGCTGAACCAGAGATAGGAAAATAATAAGAAAGGAAATTTTTTGCTGTAGGAACAGTGATGTTTCGTTTTTGGTTTTTTTTTTCCTTTCCCTGGTCATCTATATTTGGCGGAACATCAGAGTGGGAGGCTGGCTTGGAGCCTGCACCCAGTCCCTCCCCCTGCGTAGCCCACGGGCAAGGCACAAAATGTCCCCACAAGCACACCGGCACGACACCACGGTACAAAAACCCCTTCTTCAGTGAAGTGAAAAAGCAACCGCTATCCCCACGGGGTGGGCGACAGGGCCGGGGCAGGGACACCTTGGTGGAAGACAGCTGCACCCCTCGCGCTGGGAAAGCCCTCGTTCCGCAGAGGTGAAGCCGGCGTTGCCGGGCTTCACTGGTAGTAGATGCTGAAGGCGTGGAGGATGTACAGGAAGGTCGTGATGAAGGCGAAGAACTGCATGAGAGAAAGAAGAGCAAAAGCTGGGGTCAGCTGGGAGAGTCTAACCCTGTCTCCTTTCGGTGCTCTCAACCTGGGGAAACCTCCCTGCCTAGACCTCTCTCCAGCCTCAAAGAAGAGGCAAAGCCCCCCACATTTCCCAGAGGCAGCCACGCAAGGCTGTCCATGAGCCGCTGGACCCTAAGAAGCCCACGCTGGCTGCACGATGCAGCTGAAGCTCTGATCAGTGTGACACTACTGGGCTTGGGATGGCTCTGCTGTGGCTTCAGTATTTGCTCTTGCATCTCTCCAAGGGGAACTGCAGGTGCTCTGGCCTGCCTGGGGTTTTCTGGACTGACTCACCGATGCAGCGCTGTTGAGCTGGTAGTGAAGCGTCGAGTCGGGGCTTAACTCAGATCTGATGGTCGCGTTGGCTTGCAAGACAGCAGCGCTCATGTACAGAATGGCTGTGGCGCCGTGGTACAAACTGTCCTGCAAAACAAGGGAGCGGCGAGGATCAAAGCCTGCCCGGGACTGTCCTCCTCTGATTCGCCCTGAGGACGAGGTCCATCCTCTGCACATGCGAGTGCTCGAACGGGACGGACACGCCCAGACAGGGGCTGGGACCAAACCCTCGTAACCATGCCGAACCCTCCCCTGTGCCCAGGCAGCACCCATGGCATAGCACAGCTTCACTTGGCATTTCCAATCGAGGCAAAAGGAGGAAAAAGGGCTGGTGGTTTGCAGAAGGGCCGGCAGCTGGCCAGCTAACCCATCGCCAGCCACGGTGGTCTTGCACCCACACTGCTGCTGCCAACATCTGCCGGTGTCCCAGCCCCTTCTTACCAGCACTTTCCAGTTCTCGCTGTTTTTGTGAAAGCCCAAGAGGTAGCTTAAGAGGAGCAGCAGGGAGATGAGGCAGGAGCTGAGGGACACGTACATCACCCATCCCTGCAGCAGCGGGAAGGAGACGGTGGTAGCGGCGACAAGGATCCACACCCAGGTCCCGCAGAGCTGCCGGGGACAAACACAGGCACCTCCGATGAGTGTGGGATGGGGAAAGCCCCTTCTCCTCCCCGAGTCCCTCCTCACCTCCCTCCCGGGCCAGCCCCAGCAGCCGTGGGAAGCCCTGCGTCTTTGGGCAGCGCGGACCAGCCTCCCGGAGCATCCCGGCAAGACAGCAGCACTGCAAGCTGGCACAAGATTCCCTGAACGCTCTTGGGAAATACTTCAGAAAGTGTCTTACAAAAGGGAAAGGTTTGCTGCCATGTTTGACGCAAGGAAACATCTCACCCCAGGGACTTTGGTGGAGAAGCCAGAAAATGTGCTTTTATCTGGGAAAGGTGAATGGCCGCATCGGCCTAGCCCTGCCCCCTTGTTAATCTCCTGGGCTTGAAATCGTGGCATGAGGAAGTCTCCTCCTGACTCCACACACCAGCCCAGAGTGAGTTGCTCGCTCTGGATCCACCTAAAATATTTACCATGCACAAATAGCACACAGGGTTATCTGGATAAGCTCACGCCACCCTGCGCCGCTCCAGCTTCGGTGGATGAAACTCCCTCAGATTTGCAGGGGGGAGCTGAGCTCGTTGGCACGGGCAGCTCAACGGCAAAGCCCAGCCACAGCGATTGCGCCTGTGGAGCGTGGGTGGTGCGCGTCGCCAGCACTGCGTCACGTGTCAAAGTACACCAGCAGTTATCTCGGCCAGTCCCACCAGATGCCCTCTGGACCCAGAAGCAATTGAAAGATTCATGGAATGTCACGTTACAAGACACCCAACTGCCTTCAAGCCCTTGGAAAGACTTAATACAGAGAATGAAACTCCCTTATTTTTCAAGCAATTTCTATGCGATAACTAGAGCTGCTTCTGCCCCGGGGGCACCGGCAGCTCTTCAGCCTCTCCCAGCCCCAGGGCAGCCGGTGACCCTCGCACGGGCTCTGGGATGGAGCCGTATCTTGTCTTCAAACTGTTCCAAAAAAAGCACATCACAAAGACCACCGTTGTGCATTCAGTATAAGCTAAAAGACATTATTTCCCATTAATGCTGTCTTCAGGATCGTTTTGGGGGCTGCCCCCTGATTTTTAGATTCGCTAGAGCCATTAGTGGGGTGCTGTAACGCCGCAAAGCTCGGCATACTCACTATCTCCGGTAGCATGAACGCGTAGGGGATGGTCTTGAAGACAGCGGGTCCGGAGGGCAAGGCAGGCTGAGTGGAGGCCGCAGGGCCACACACCGAGGCCATCTCTTCCAGCTGATGCCACGACTGCTCCGGCTCTGCTCTGCTCACATTTGTCTGCGCCGCACCGCTCCCGTGCAGGGTTTTAACCGACACACCCGCAGGGATGTAATCACAGAAACCAGCCCAGGCTGGCACCACGCTGCTTCCTCTGGCTGAAGGAGCCCTCAGGAGCCCTCTGGTTATTGCGGCTGACTTCACACACCCTGCTGCCAACACTGGGACGGGAGAGCAGCGGGACCCCGGCCCCGCCACCGACACACAATCAATTCAAGGTCTTTAACGAGAGGGGAAAGGGAAAAAATCCTGCACCACGCCGGGGGGGAGAAACGTTTCCTGCAATCAATTTTTGTCCTTGGCATACTTTCAAGCCTGAAATGTTTTTGCTTTTGTTGCCTCCTCCCTTTTCTGTTCAGGTTTCTGCTCTGTGTTCGCGTCGGACTCCCCCACACCCACCGGGCATGTCCAGCCTTTGAAAACTTGCAGCCAAACATTTTTTACAGATAACTCAACACACTGATAAAAGACGGGAGGGTTTGCCCGCGTGCTCCTAAGTGCCCGGAAAGGTCTGAAGGACAGCTACCGGGACAGCTTTGATTTCTACCTCCTGGCAGATGCGCTTTGGATTCGACAAGTACACACTGTTTTTTCCCAGAGGACTCTGCCTCACGCCATAACTCACCAATAACTGGTGGGATGAAAGGCTGGAGGTGGCATCTCTGCCTCGTGGCCTAGCGAAGTCATTCTGTCCTCTCTAACTCAGGCAATACTCTGCAGCAGGAGGAGGACGATATCCTAGTAAGATACCATATCCCTCTGTTAGGAGAGACAAGCGATGCCCTAGGAATTTGGCTTCTAGGCCGAGTGCTTGCGCAATACAGAGCAACAAATCCATGGTGTTTCTTATTGTCCGAGCCCTTCCTAGGCTGGGGCAGGTGCTTTGTGGCATTTCTGGAGGCTCCAGTTTACAAATGCTGTCAGTAGGAGCTGGCTTCGGGCTCCACGCAGCGCGCCGTGGTCTTTGAAAGATCTTGTTTTAAAACATTTCACACCAGACAAAACTAGTGCCTGGCTCGGACTTAAATCCACATGCGACCCGGTGCCCGCCTGCCTCGTCGGACACAGTGGCAACATAGCCGTCACCATGCAGAAAGCATCCAGAGACTCCAGCACAACAGAGAAATGGGATTAATGGCTTCCCACTGGGAGCGGGCAGCACGTACGGCCTGTGGTTACAAACTGCTCAGGGAAGAGAAGCCTTCAACATCCCGGTCCACCTGAGGAATACCCCGCAGCTCATTAGCCTGCCCTAGAAAGTCAGCACAGAGGGAGCTACCGTATGGCGTGGCCGTGCGCCGGGGAAACACAGCATGCCCTGAATTCTCACCAGCTTCCAGTTGTATTAGGTGGGTCAAGCACATTCCTGTGAATAACCCAACCCTTTCCTGAGTGGGAAAGAAAAACAGTAAAACAGTCTAAATACGGAGCAACCTGCTGGCCACCGATTGGACAAGAAATTATTTTCTTCCCTAACCTGGCTGACCTTGCTCAGCAGCATTCTTAAAGATCATTGCTATTTTCCTTGCCTGTTACCACTCTGCTGGGGTACTGTGACAAAGAGTCTTTTGTTCACCCTGATTAAAACAAAACTGGAAATTAATTGGAAGCTGCATGAGAGGAGAAAAGTGCTGCCTCAGCATTTGCTCCGCTTCGGCAAAATACGACACTTGACGTGGCTACAACAGGTACGTGTAGCAACAGACAGCCTTGCCTAACATTGCAAAGTCAAAAATTTAAAATACAATTTCCATTAGTTCAACTGGTAAAATAATTTTAGTCTCTCTCAAAATGTTAGTGTTAAGTGTGTTAAAATATTCATTACAATTCAGATAGTACACAGTTTCTCTTTGGTAAGAATTTATTTATGTTGTTACTCCATTGTTATATAGCCTGAATTGTTCTTCTATAATCCATTCATACACCAGGATTGTTTTTCCTCGTTTCTCCTAAGAAATCGTAAGACAGCTCTGCGATATCAAAGGCTTTGTGAGTGTTCTCTGACGACAGCAGATACTGAAGTGCACCATCATTCTCTCGGCTCTTTTCCAAAAAGTCAGCAATCACCTTCCAGCGAGATGCTTCCGACTCTTCCTCAGCCCACTTGTAGTCAGGGAGGAAGGTGGACTGGAGGAGAGGGAAGACAGAGTCGTGGTACACCAGGACAAACAGAGACTTCAGAAATTCTTGATCTCTCTGCAGAGAAGAGGATTTGAAAATACTTCAGTGCAAATACGCCAACAGTGTTGCCAAGCACTTCTACAGAAGTATTGTACATGGGGGGGGGAAGACAAGAAAACATTCAACTAACCCCCAGTTCCCACAATAACAAGGTGAAGAGATTTGACCTTCCTAAACAAACATCAGTTAGCTCAGGCGAGCCTCAAACTCACCACCAAGAACTACACTACATAAACTATAGATCGACAAATCTGTTCTCTGACCCACCTACTTTTCCAAACGACAAAGAGCAGCGATATGCAGCCAGACCCTGCCAGTGTTACCGCAAAACGGCAATCTGTACAACAGTCTCCGAGAGCCCTTTGCTCACGGGGTATCTGTATTTCTGCCTAAAAACACCAGTGTGTGACAACAGCCTCTGCAGGTACAGACGGAGACTGCCGTGGCCGCCGGGGAAGTGCCACATCCTCCCCGCCTTGGAAGCCGAAACTCCACTCGTTTCTCTACTGCCCTAGACGGAGAGTTGCAACAATCCCACGCTCCTCGCAGCGCATGGCTCTTACAGTGCGACCTTACCTCCTGCTAAGTACTGTTATTTCACACTTTGACAGGACATTCTGTGTGTGGCGAGTATTGTACCCTCCCCTGTAAAGACCAGTTTGCAAACCCCAGAGACTAAGAATCAGCCTGGTCAGTTATCAAACACCGAAAGATCCCGACCACTCTAACTAGACAAGATTTGTGTGCCCCATTTTCCACACGCACACTAGAAAAAACCCTTCATGCAAGAAGGACACACACAGAGCTCTGCCTCCTGGAAAACTCACTGACCACCGAGACTCTTCCAGAAATGTGAGCGCTGTGACTGGCATTGAACAGTTCACGTCTCAGCAGGAGATTTAGCAGCTAAGCATCATATAACCATGCAAGAAGGAGTAAGAATTGGCCGGGCAGCAATCCTACCGTGGGAGTGGCACATGACAAATCAGGTAAAACTGGATGGTTCTGGGATACCGAGGAGTTACTAATTCTTTGAGCAGATCAGCTTTCATTTTGGATGAATGGCCTTGAAAAAGCAATTCTAACTCAACAGCATTTTGTTTTGTTTGCATAAATGGGGAGATCTCCTTGTGTATCTATTCAGCAGCACGCACAATGAATGAAATATCCTGCTGCTGCTCCCAAGTGAAGTGTCTTGGATGAAGAGCCAATGCCTTTCTCATTCAGTTACCTACAGCTTCTCTTTGCCCAGAGGATAGGAGGTAGGGCAAGGTACAGGTAAGCCTGGTGACATGGCCAATTCAGTTCTTCTCCAGCTGTCTACACGCCAAAATGGGAGACTACAGCTGTCTGAGGTAGGGAGATTCGCAGAATTTGGGGGCCTTTTTCCAGGCAGAGGGCGGGAGGACTGCAGCCCAGAGGTTGGAGGAGGAGAGATTATTTTGTGGACATACACGGCCCCTTTTGTACCAGTGGAAAGCTTTTACCAGTCAAGTATTGGAAGCACGTCGTGAAAGGGAGCCACGCTTTGGGTATGAACCTGTAATAGCTTCCCCACTAACAACCACGTACAAACACTGAGACGAGAAGTTACAAGTTAATTTCATATTCCTTCTTCTCTTAGTTTACTGTTATAAATATGGGTCAGAAATGTTAAGAACTGCATTTAGTGTATGTACATTTTCTACATAAATGTATGTAGAGAGGAAAAGTTAACG